ATATATATATATATATATATATATATATATATATATATATATATATATATATATATATACACATATGTGTGTGTCTCAGCTGTATGTAAACTACGGCCAATACAACAACGCGTATTTATTATTTCATTTTGGTGTGGAGACAAGACAGAACGTGTGGGGTCCTGCTTTCTTCTATAGAACGCAGGCTGGGGAGACACCCCACGCAGCGCTACCAAAAGGTACTTGTTGCTGTCTCCTGAGAGTGTCTCCTTTTTCTGTCTCCTTTTTTTGTCTCCTTTTGTCTCCTTTGTATGGCTCCTGCTGTCTCCTTTGTATGGCTCCTGCTGTCTCCTTTTTCTGTCTCCTTTTGTCTCCTTTTTCTGTCTCCTTTTGTCTCCTTTTTCTGTCTCCTTTTGTCTCCTTTGTATGGCTCCTTTTTCTGTCTCCTTCTTCTGTCTCCTTCTTCTGTATCGTTTTGTCTCCTTCTTCTGTCTCCTTCTGCTGTCTCCTTTTGTCTCCTTTTGTCTCCTTCTTCTGTCCCCTTTCTGTCTCCTTTTGGCTCCTTCTTCTGTCTCCTTTTGTCTGCTTCTGTCTCCTTTTGTCTCCTTTTGTCTCCTTCTTATGTCTCCCTTTGTCTCCTTCTGTTGTCTCCTTTTGTCTCCTTCGTATGGTTCCTTCTGTCTCCTTGTGTCTCCTTCTTGTGTCTCCTTTTGTCTCCTGTCTCCTTTTGTCTCCTGTCTCCTTTTGTCTCCCGTCTCCATTTGTCTCCCGTCTCCATTTGTCTCCTTTTGTCTCCTTCTGTCTCCTTTTGTCTCCTCTTCTGTCTCCTTTCTGTCTCCTTCTGTCTCCTTTCTGTCTCCGTCTTCTGTCTCCTTTTGTCTCCTTCTTATGTCTCCTTTTGTCTCCCTCTTTTGTCTCCTTCTGTCTCCTTCTTCTGTCTCCTTTCTCTGTCTCCTTTCTCTGTCTCCTTTCTCTGTCTCCTTTCTCTGTCTCCTTTGTGTTTTTATGTCTCCTCCCCAATTACTTTTCTCTTTACCTGTCTCTACAACTCCCTCTCTCTCTCTCTGTCTCTCTCTGTCTCTCTCTCTTTCTGTCTCTCTGTCTTTGTCTCTGTCTCTCTGTCTTTGTCTCTGTCTCTCTCTGTCTCTCTCTGTCTCTCTCTCTGTCTCTGTCTCCCTCTCTGTCTCTCTCTCTGTCTCTCTCTCTGTCTCTCTCTATATATATCTTTTAATCTCTCTCTCTATTTATATATATCTTTGTTTATCTCTGTCTCTTTTTCAGTCTTTGTCTCTATTTCTGTCTCCGTCTGTATTTCTATTTCTCCTTCTGTCTCTCTTTCTGCCTCTATCTCTCCTTCTGTCTTCTTCTCTCTTTCTGCCTCTATCTCTCTTTCTCTCTCTCTCTTCCCTTTCTTTCTCTTTCTTTCTCTCTAGCTCTTTGCCTCCATCTACACACA